GGGGGCCGAACACAAGCCCGGAACCAATGGGAATGTTAATTCCGCAATTAAACAGCATGCGGAAACCGGCTACGATATACATCCTATTTACGCCAACATTCTTGAAACAGGTGTGAGCGGCAAGAACAAAAGACTGTTTCTGGAATCCTTGCATTCTTTCTTAGACAAAAACTCCGTAAATGAAAGAGCACCCTTCCCAAGGGTTTACGCGTCACTGGTTGCCTCCCTAGGGGGCAACGAACAATAACGTCCCAGCTTATTAAAATTCTGTGAATCGCGCGAAATGATCATTCTCTGAAGAAGACCGCAGAAGGCGGTCGAAAATTTAGAGACAATTATACTTTTTTAGATCTGCCTTAAACGTTTTTTAAAGAACTATGAGCACAGATCGCTCCAACAGTCTCAAATCATTATTTATTCATTAATTATTGCAAGTGCTGTTCTCTTGGGTTTTACACTTTCTTTACCAATTTGATTTTTTTTACTTGTGTGGATTAAGAAGTTTGCCAACATTTTCCTGTTTTAGCTGATTTGTTAGTAAATAATATAGAATGCACCGGTCCTTATTGTATGTTGCGTTTTTCCTGCTGTTGTTTCTTTGCCCGTGCCAGTTGAACTGTCAAAGTTAATTCTTTTCGGATTGCGAATCAGGTGCTCATATTATGCTACTCTTTTACTAACAATGAAGTGTCAATCTTTATTTTGCTAGATAAAGATATAAAACAAACAGCGGTGAGAAAAATTTTAAAAACATGCATTTTATGAATTTGACGTTTCGTATACATAAAAATTTGGGAAAGCTATTTGTACTGTATCAATGGGGGTCTGGAACCTAGATAGAAAAACATCTGCAGTAGAAATTTAAGACGTTTGAGACGGAAACTGTCTGTAAAGTGAACATGGAAAAGCTTTCCTAATAAAGTAAAAGCTTTTTACTGCTGACATTGGCATTCAATGCTGGCTGTAACTCCTGAATAAATAAGGTCTCCTTAACCTTACAATGGTAGTCAGTCTTGCCGGACGCCAAAATGTCAAAATGGTCTCATTTGATGTTGTGACCAGTTGTTTTAATGTGATCAGCAATAGCAGAAGAGTGATTGTTTCGAAAGTGCCTTGAAATGCTCCGTTTTTCGTGAAGTTTTCGCTTCGTTTTCCCTGTGTAAAAATCACTGCAGTCCCAGCAACTAGCTTTATAAATGACTTCGGATAATTATGATCGGTTGAGACGGTCCTTGTATGGGAAGAAGGATTTGATGCGCCGGGTGTTTTGAAAAATAGCTTTGACATTAACAAAAGAGTAGAAACGATTTACACAAGATTTTAGACGCTTATATGATTGCTATGGAGACCTATACAGGGTAATAAAATAATGACATCTTTTTTGGGGACTGTTGCTACCGGTTTATTTGGGTTGTTCTTGTTCTTGTTCAGGGCATCATTGATATTAAAAGTGATGATGTCCTGAGGGTAGCCATTTTGCAGCAAACGCCTTTTGAGATCTTCGACAGCGGATCGTAACAATGAATCGGTAGAGCAAATACGGAAGCATCGATAGGTTAGCGTGCGGATAAGATTGATTTTTTATTTGCGTGGTGTAAATGAATCCCATTTCGTATAGAATCCAGTAAATGTCTTCTCCCGGTAAACAGATGTGATGAAAGTGTTGTTTGGGCAGCGTTTAACAAGAATGTTCAAAAACGGAATCTCTTTGGCTTGTTCAAATTCAGTGGTGAATTTGATGCTATTGCCCTTTTCTTGAGTGTGAGAGTGACTGCTGTTGAGGTACTTCAAAAACTCATTAGCAGTGTCTTTGCTGTCAAACATGGAAAAAGTGTCATCAACATATCTAAACCAAAGTGTAGGGTGAAACCTGGGGGTGTATGTTATCCATTTTTCTTCAAAGTCACACATGAAAATGTTAACCAAAAGGGGGCCTAAAGGTGAGCCCATGGCAACACCATCAATCAGGTCGTAATACTGACCATCGAGGATAAAGTGGCTTTTTTTTGTGGCAAACTCTAACAATTTCTTTAAAACAGGACCAGGTATTGCAGGGGAATCAGGAAGGACGTACAGCTTGCCTAGACAAATTTGTATTGTTTCATCGAGTGGCACATTTGTAAACAACGAACAGACATCGAAAGAGTCCATTATTCCATTACGATGTTTGTAAGATTTAGCCCAGTCTGCAAAACGAAATGAGTCTTTAACTGTATGTTGATTGGTGGATATCGGCTGAAGTATTCCAACAAGGTAAGACGCCTGGTTGAAATTGTACGTGTTCACTGAGAAAACAATAGGGCGGAAGGGAGATTCAGCCATATAAAACACCTGAGGAAGACCCACCGGGTAAAATCTTCTGGAAAACTGTGTCATCAATTATTCCATCCTTTCGTAGTTTGCGGAGGTAGGAAGAAAGGCTCTCTTCTCTAGCTTTAGTGGGATCGTGTGTCAATGGTTTGAATTTGGTGTTATCAGAAAGCAACTGCCTCGGTCAAGTCTGCTAACAATAACAATGCCATGACCATTTCCTTTGTCCGGTTTCGTAATAATAGTGCTGTCATCACTGCTGTCATACTTTTGAAAATGTATGTTGACCAGCATACGAAATGTCAAGTTCATAAAATGCATGTTTTTAAAATATTTATCACCGCTGTTTGTTTTATATTTTCAATCAAGCTACGATAGCCGAAGACCAAGAGTTTACAGCTGCAGATCATTTTGAATATTTTGTCATATGTCGAGCGCGGGTCGCATAGCGGCAAAGGTTTTTCGAACTAGGAAATACAGAAAAAGGAATGCAATGTTGACCAATAACGAAGTGGAAAATACTAAAAACGCCATTGATGATTCACGAAACATTAGTTCGTATAGTGTAATCGTCTGAAAAGAACTGCTGTCGGTGACTGACGTGTCATCATCATGTCGTGTCGACAACCTGAGCGAAAGTTATCGTCAGAGTCAAGTGAATAGAGTTTGTCAGTCGATGGTGTTATAAGTCTGGTCAGTTGAAACATATTGGTCAGTTTAGCCGTGGTGGAATTAGCTGCGAGATTCCTGTAAAGTTTCTCAATGTTCGGTCGGTGGTCGACTCTGGTGACTTTCGATCCGTCTATTGTTAGTGAATTAAGGCGGTCTGTCTGAAATCCGTCTATTGTTAGTCAGGTCTGTATGAGGTTCGTCTATTGTACGTCAAACCAAATCGGTCTGTTTGTGGTCCGTCTGTCAAGGTGCCGGAAATTACTAGCTTTCCAGAGTCGGTCGTTGAAAATAGTTTGTACATGTACCGTAGGTAAAACTAGCCATATCAGCCTTAACTGGAGAAAATATCGCTTCGTCCTTAAACTCTGTTCTTTATTTATTTATTGTGTTTATTTTGGGTTAAGCACGGGTTAAACAGTTCAAGTGTTTCCCCTAAATAAGCTTAATTAATGGTTATTTGACTGTAAATTATTAATGATTGTAGTATGCTATGTAACGCAACTTACAATCTCCTCAACAGAACAAGGAACAACACCTTTTGTTTGATATAATAGAAGTACTGACAGCTTCCAACTAGCCCACGCTTTCTCACGAGTGTTTTTTAAATGTTACATGTTATAGAATTATTATCTGCTTCAAAATTATTACGTTAGGAATGTTTTACATCCCATAAAAAAGGAACACAATGACACAAAAAGAAACAAAACAAAACAAAAAAATTACAATAAACTGTGCAGACAATATTTACGACCATGTTACATTTCTGACTTTCGACGAACCATAATTACCATGTCTAAAGGTTTGGAGTAAAGATGAAACAATAACAATTCTTACCTTTAGAAACGGGCGGAGAGACGGAGATGTTTAGCATTAATGCTGAAGCCAACCCAAAACAAACCGACATCACTGAGTACATTGTGAGAAAATGAAGCTTGAAAAAACAACAGTTCACTAATCATAATCAAAATTATAAGTATCACTATAACTTTTGTTGACCATCTTCTTATCACCTGCCGTTCGAAATGTTATTTGAATAACCATCATGAAAAGTGATAGAAATGTACTTTGAAAGCTGTCTGTATTTTCGAGTAGTGTTTCACTAATTTCAGTTATTTACCTTTAGAAAAACATGGCTAATTTTACCGTTCGAATTTCTGCATTCTCAGAATTACACTACGCAAGTAGTTAGACTGAGAAAGGCACATGTTAAAGAGTAAGACTTGATTCGAAATATATAAAGTCGGAAATGCTATGATCCATATAAATAATCATTAGCTTTTCCAAGACTCCAAGTAAATGTAAGTTTAGCATATGTTCGATGTTCCCCTGTCTCAAAATTCTCCTCGGGTCTCTTTTAGTTAATTAGCAGCTAAAATACGTTCGGCGGACGCTGTAATATCTACCTTCCCTGGGTCACCTATTTCTGGAGGTAAATTTGTATACTATGAATATCAATCTTACAAAAACAAGTATCAGGCGCTGCCTAATTATGCGGGATTTGAAGTAAAAACACTTGTCGCGCGAGTGTAGGATTTTAGGAAAGGAAAAAAAATATATTATGACGAAAAACTCAAAGCATAGTGTCATTTTATTGCAAAGCATTTCCTGTTATTCAACAGTCTGCGGATAGGCCCTTCGCAGGATCCGGTCACATGATACTGAATTAATTACGCTGGGACGCAAGTTACACAGTGGGACTTCCAAAACAAAGGAAAGTCGGGCTGGACTGGTACGAGTTCCTTTGTCTTGGAAGTCCCACTGCGTAATTTGCGTCCCAGCGTAATTAATTCTGTACCATGTGACCGGATCCTGCAAAAGGGCCTATTGAAGTATCCTGACCAATCAGGAGAATATTATCTGCTATACATGCGGCCCTTCCTGCGATCAACGCCATCCCGTGCACAACGACATTGTCCCTGAAGTGATTCTAATTCGTGGCTTTAACGGTTTAGTTTAAAATAAAATCGTCACATTTGTGGCCATTTATACCCAATAGTTGGTTATCATTATTTGTTCTAGCTTTCTCTTCAGTAAACTAGACTGAAGCCTTGTGGAGTTCTCGATATAGGATATAATGTATTGCAATAAAAGGAAATTTGTTCAAAACTAATGCCGGCACATGTTTATAAGGGCGCTTCCCCTGTTTCAACGACGAAACGAAACGACTGTCCTACCGACCCACTC